TAGTTAGTTGTGTTGTGTATTGCCAACTCAGATATGAGCTGGCTGCCCCAAATTAAACCGTCTCAGTAGTGTTTCGCAATTAAAAATCGGTTTTCGGAATATATACGAGAATTTTTGAATTTTAGTAAATACTAGAGTCGTTGTATTGAGTATTATAATAGCTTCATCCCTAGTTCGCTTTATATTGAATATTTTTACGCGTTTAATCGATACCCTCCTTCAAATTTACTTGCGTTAGAGATTCGGGAAAGATATCAATTCGCGGTTTATTCTTTTGCTTTATATACATCGTGTTTATTTCATATCTCTTTTCTTTTTTTTACGTTTATTCTATTTAAAGTTAACTTCATTCTAAAAATCGAGAATAATATAATATCGCGGTTTCCCCTCTTAAATAAATCGCGTTTCGAAATACTTTTCGCGTCGTCCATTCCACAGTGACTCACATTTTGTGAGTCTGTGAGTCTTGGGAAATCAACGACGAGGAACTGGAATGATTTGCGGAAGGATGACGATCTGAGAGGATGGAAGGAAGGAAGGAAGGAAGGAGGCAATGCAGCCAGGCAGCCAAATCTACGTTGCAGAGCCCAGCTGCTTAATCTGCGAATTGTGAGTGAATTTTTTGAGGGTTTGGTGGTTGGTTATATATGTGTGTGCATGTGCATGTCGAAGCTGAACTACCAAGAGGTCCGCAGAAGAACTGGATGGACTCTACTGCACTAATGGTGCAAACGCCCTCCCATTATTAGAGTATCGAAGTAGTATACCGCGTTAATTCAATTTAGAGTCAATTTTCCCATTTACTTTCGATCGATACGAGAATTTATCACGTCGCGTCGTGTTTGATAAATAGCTTCGTCCCTTTTTCCATTTTTGCGTTTCTTTTCTCTTTTCTTTTTTGAATTTTTGCTAAATGTCCCAACTAAAATCAACTACAGGAAAATATGGAGGATAATAAAAATTCGCGGTTTCGGGTACTAAACAAAATCCCTGAAAATGAAAATAAATCGCGATTCGTACTCCACTTTTCGCGCGTCACCCTTCCACAGCTTTCCACGTCTGGTGGGTCTTGGGCATTGGCTTTGGGTCTTTCAATATATCATTGTGGGTCACTGGTGGGATGAAAATTCAAGGCTGAGACGGAACTGGGAGGAAGGAAGGAAGGATGACGATCTGAGTGGAAGGAAGGAGAAAATGCAGTCAAATCCACGTTGCAGAGCTTAGCTGTTTAATCAGCGAACAGTGAGTTACAAAAATGGGTTTTTTTTCTGGTGATTTGGTTTAGTAGTTAGTTGTGTTGTATATTGCCAGCTGAAATATGAGCTGGCTGCCCCAAATTAAACCGTCTCAGTAGTGTTTCGCAATTAAAAATCGGTTTTCGGAATATATACGAGAATTTTTGAATTTTAGTAAATACTAGAGTCGTTGTATTGAGTATTATAATAGCTTCATCCCTAGTTCGCTTTATATTGAATATTTTTACGCGTTTAGTCGATACCCTCCTTCAAATTTACTTGCGTTAGAGATTCGGGAAAGATATCAATTCGCGGTTTATTCTTTTGCTATATATACCTCGCGTTTATTTCATATCTCTTTTCTTTTTTTTACGTTTATTCTATTTAAAGTTAACTTGATTCTAAAAATCGAGAATAATATAATATCGCGGTTTCCCCTCTTAAATAAATCGCGTTTCGAAATACTTTTCGCGTCGTCCATTCCACAGTGACTCACATTTTGTGAGTCTGTGAGTCTTGGGAAATCAACGACGAGGAACTGGAATGATTTGCGGAAGGATGACGATCTGAGAGGATGGAAGGAAGGAAGGAAGGAGACAATGCAGCCAGGCAGTCAATTCTACGTTGCAGAGCCCAGCTGCTTAATCTGCGAATTGTGAGTGAATTTTTTGAGGGTTTGGTGGTTTGTTATAAATGTGTGTGCATGTGCATGTCGAAGCTGAACTACCAAGAGGTCCGCAGAAGAACTGGATGGACTCTCAAACGCCCTCCCATTATTAGTGTATCAAAGTAGTATACCGCGTTAATTCAATTTAGAGTCAATTTTCCCATTTACTTTCGATCGATACGAGAATTTATCACGTCCCGTCGCGTTTGATAAATAGCTTCGTCCCTTTTTCCATTTTTGCGTTTCTTTTCTCTTTTCTTTTTTGAATTTTTGCTAAATGTCCCAACTAAAATCAACTACAGGAAAATATGGAGGATAATAAAAATTCGCGGTTTCGGGTACTAAACAAAATCCCTGAAAATGAAAATAAATCGCGATTCGTACTCCACTTTTCGCGCGTCACCCTTTCACAGCTTTCCAAGTCTGGTGGGTCTTGGGCATTGGCTTTGGGTCTTTCAATCTATCATTGTGGGCCACTGGTGGGATGAAAATTTAAGGCTGAGGGGAATTCAATGGTCCACTGAGGGAATTGCAAAAGTTTCATGGGTCTGAAAGAAGCTTCCAAGTGAATTGTGGGTCAAAATCGAAGGCTGGGAGGACTGAAATGGGTCACTAAGGGTATCTCAAAGGTTACGAATGGTGAGTCGTATGAATTATTTATCTTGTCGATCAAATTTATATTATTTTCCAGTGTTTCAGCGAAATTTTGTTAAATTGTAATAAATTCGCGGTTTTCCTTACTAAATAAAATGAAAATAAATTGCCTGGGCGTTCTTGATCGTAGAGATCAGTTCTCAAAGATTATTGTTGCCAATTCTGACGAGATAAAAAGTACCGAGCGTACTGATAAGGTTCAGGGTAGGAATAAAATCTATTTAACAATGTCCACCTGTGTGGTCTGCGTTTAGGGAGTTGTACGTTTTTTCGATGATCGATTTAGGTAAATATTTCGAGCTCACATAAGAGTTCAATTTTCTCCTGTTCGAAAAAGAATTTTGCCTTGAGTTGAGGTATGAGTTTCATTATCAGAGGTTTAATTAGGTATTCCATTGCTACGATTTCATATAATAAAGATATCCTAACAATTTATCCTCTTATTCGGAAATTTCGAAAAGACATTCAGTATTTCAGACGTTCCGTATTTTAGACGTTCCGTATTTCAGACGTTCCGTATTTCAGATGTTCCGTATTTCAGACGTTCCGTATTTCAGATGTTCCGTATTTCAGACGTTCAGACGTTTTATAATACGTCAATCTGCTGTTATGCATTCAGTATTTCAGACGTTCCGTATTTTAGACGTTCCGTATTTCAGACGTTCCGTATTTCAGACGTTCCGTATTTCAGATGTTCCGTATTTCAGACGTTCCGTATTTCAGACGTTCCGTATTTCAGACGTTCCGTATTTCAGACGTTCAGACGTTTTATAATACGTCAATCTGCTGTTATGCCAAGAAACTCTGAGAGTACTCTCGAGAGAAACTATCTAACTACGCAGTAGTCACTTTTAGCCTTTATAAAGTCTATTGTCACACGAAACACCTTGTTTAAAGTGTACTGCAGTGCAAATTTCGAAAAGACGTTCCGTATTTCAGACGTTCAGACATTTTATAATACGTCAATCTGCTGTTATTGCAAGAAACTCTGAGAGTACTCTCGAGAGAAACTATCTAACTACGCAGTAGTCACTTTTAGCCTTTATAAAGTCTATTGTCACACGAAACACCTTGTTTAAAGTGTACGGCAGTGCAAATTTCGAAAAGACGTTCCGTATTCCAGACGTTCGGTATTTCAGACGTTCAGACGTTTTGTAATACGTCAATCTTAGCTGTTATGCCAAGAAACTCTGAGAGTACTCTCGAGAGCAACTATCTTAATTGCGCAGTAATCACTTTTAGTCTTTAAAAAGTCTCTATTGTCACACGAAACACTTTGTTCAAACTTTTTGGCAGTACAAGTTTCGAAGAGACGTTCAGTATTTCAAACGTTTAATATTTCAGACGTACAGACGTTTCATAATATGTCAATCTTTGCTGCTAAGAATTCGACAATCCAATCGACATAAAACACCGAATTGCAGAATAAATCAACGACACACACTTCTCAACGACACTTGTATTCACTTTCAACTTATAGAAACACAATGATTTTAAACATAAACATTCATTTTCCACATGATTCTTGCTGCGTTCAAGAACTGTGATCGGCAGCGTTCGGCAGCGTTCGGCAGCGCTCGTAACTGTTCGGTCAGCGGTTCTCTTTTCGAGTATCCTGGATACGAAACATTCCATGTCAAATTGAACACTTTTTGCCACTATGTTATAGATTTTTCTCAAACTCAAACTGTTAAAAAATCGAGTCAAACTTCTGGTTATCTGACAAGAGAACATCTCGAAGTGATAATTGACATTGTACACCATTTCACATAAAGCCATAGGCATTTTAAATTTGACGTAGATAGGGAAGAAAATGGTACGTCAAATCACAGACGAGGTAATTCGAATTCCAACCACTACCAATGTTGCAATCTTATTCCACGCTTAGTCGGTAATGTTGGAAGCGACACAAAAATGGTAAGGGCTCTCTCGACCCTCGTACCGTGGACACAAAATGTCCTAAGATGTTAGATCTATCCTCTACCTCCTCTGTGGTAACATTATATATGCATAAATTCATACTACAACCTTTCGAAGCCTACTATTAACAGGAAAAAGGTCTATTAATAACAAGAACAGGAAAAAAAATCTTTACAACATTCAACAACCTGAATACATTAAGTTAAGAAGGAAACAATTCTCGCTAAAAGACCATATACATTTTACTCATAAATACCTTACCAAACGTTACATACTAGCGTCCATACATTCTTGCAAATATTACCGACAATTTACTGTGACGTTCAAATAGAAACCCGGCAACGCAAAGTAGCCATTTAAACCGAAGGTATTACTGATTCCAGTTAAATAGCCGGAAGCATCTGTATATAATCCCATAATGACCAAGATGCTTATGGCCGCGTGAGTGTCGAAGAACCGTTGAGTCCCAACATCATCAGGCTAACTACCCGACGAGCGACTCTCACCTGTAACAGTCGCGGCTTTACCTTCGCGAGTAGCGCACGCGTTTCTCTCCGCTCGTACAAACCGCAAAAGTCGATTTGTTCACCCGTTAATAAACGAACAATTAACCAACTCTCGCAATTGTACGTATATCGTTCTCTCGTTCGGTACAACCAATTCACGAAGTGAATCAGGCGTATCTGTAACAATTCCATCGGCGGCAATTCCTCGCGGACCGACAATACAGCGATCCATTCAAAGCACTCCTTGACGCATCAGTCGTGTTTTACTCCTTCGTTCGCGAATCATTATCCACCGTGGGCTCGTACCTGCTCGATTACTAATCGAACTAATTGACACGCGTTTCCTTCTCAGCTGCTGCGTTCTTTTGACAACACAGGTAAACACGGCAGTTACCCGTTCGTTTCTCGCGGTGGCACTTAATAGGTTTTTCTCAGAGATGAATAGTCAACTGGTAAATTCCAATTTTCACGTCGAGCGAGTTCATTCGGAGAAAAATGACCACGACCGTTGGGAAAAACATTCTCATTCGATGTCGAACATGTTATCGAATGTAACCGAACACGTGCACACACCGTCGGAGCCGTGATAACTCGTTTTTCCTTTTGCAATGTGCCAATAGGAGAACACCCATGCTTTAAAAGCGCCAGCGCAACGGACTCGCGCGATTCTTTGCCCAACATCGAAATGACGAGACGTCGAAACCTGCTGCGGCTGTGCGTGAGCTGCGTTTACCTGTTCGTGTTGATCACGGCCGAGGAGGACCCGGTGGTAAGAGTGAAAAATGGCACGTTGACGGGACTGATTATGAAAAGCAGCCGAGGCAGAGAGTTCGCTGCATTCCGGGGGATTCCCTTCGCGCTGCCGCCCCTTGGAGAACTTCGATTCGAGGTGAGTTTGTCATTCGGGGATGCATCTTACGGGGAGCAAATAATAACCGAGTATTTGTCACTAAAATAAGTCAATTTATATATA